GTCGACGGCTCGAGAGGGCGCCACTAAAGCATATTCTGGATAGGCTGTATGAGGCGGGTGGCCAGGGCGGCTTGCATTGCATTTGCTGCGCGATTAAGGACTAATTTGGCATAACACTTCATTGGCCACAAACTACAGCAAACACGGTGTTAAGATCAGTTCAGAACGGGAGCCACTTCGTGCTGCCATACCGCCAAACGGCCAAATCGCCAGCCAAGCTCGTGCTGAAAGCCTTCGGAACGCTCGGAACCGGTCGAATCCTCGATCCGGTATACGACCGCAGCGCCGCCGCATACATTCGGGACCTTTCTACGCTCACTGTTCGTTGGAGCCTCATCCCACAAGCCTTTTCTAGTATGCGCCGTTTTTTCCGCCGCTTGGTGGGGGGTTTGTCGACGAGTCTTTTCTTGTTTCCATACTTTATAAACTGCATTTGTTTCTTTTCTGATCTAAATTACCAAACAAAAACTACTTTCATACATAACTGAAACGGTTCGCGACACTTATATTTTGTATTTCGACTAAAAAAAAGCTTCTAGCGGCTCTGACCAGTGGTAAGCCCAGGACCAAAGACGTCACATATTGCGCGCTTTCGGCGATGCCGGTCGCCCTCGTAAATGGAGGAGGTTTCCGCATCTTCCGGTTAAAATATGACTCACTGATATTTAGTTACTCTCTCCGTGCCCGCTGGCTTGCCCGAACCCCGAGAGACGTGGAAACTACAAAGAAGGTAGGCGCTTAAATATGATTGCAGGGCCCCTTTAACAAAATGGTATGGGCGTCCCTTTCCGGAGGTACATGGGGGACAGCGGGGCTCGGTATGGGACAGAGGGGCTGGACGCTGCGAGGCGTCATGTGCAACGGGGCCAAGTAGGTTAATAGTTTTGTAATTAGCAGCCGCATACTGTTGCCGCGAGGCGGCATGAATGTATGTGGGGGGTTGGTTAACGAGCTCCCCAGGGATACATGTGCTGTTCGACTTTCTTTCGGACGGCACTTGTAGGCACGGGTGGAGTGCCGTCGGACGGCACTGTAGACAGCCAAAAAAACAACAGAAAATGAGGTGTTTCAAACAACTTTCTTGAAGAGATCATGAACTGATTTTTCAACTACTTCCTCGTCAGCTTTCCTCCTCAGTACATAAGCAGAGTGAGAAACCATGTGGTCGTATTTCACTGAAACCCAAAGGTCTGCCAGCAGCAGTCTGAGAGCGGGCATGGACAAAGCCCAACATAAATTTCGCACTTCACATTTTTGCAAGTTCTGACAACCATGAAGGGAGCGACGAAACAAGCGATGGCGACCCTTTTTGCTATCACTCAGCCGCACGATGAGGCACACTGCATGAAAGCAACTGGAGCAAGCGACCAATGTGATGAGCGACGTTTTCTAGTAATTCAAGGACCGAGCAGCGTTACAAGCGACAGTGAGAAATCTCCGTTGCTGTTGCCGATGCTCGTCTCGTTGCTCACTAAATCGCTTACATGCGGTCCAGCCTTAATTGTCTGAAAGCGAGAGACACGTGCCACGAGTGAGTACCGTGCTGCCACTCACTTCCAGGTGCCTCTCATTTCAGGGCTACACTGCCATTTGCTTCCAAGTCCTGCACGGGCCTCCTGCTCAGGCGCTTTGATGCCACTTACGAAACTAGCACAAACTCGTCAAGGGGGTTTAGGTGGGGTTAGTCATCCGGTGTGTTTGCCGCACCATTCTTTACGGTGCCTCGACAGTCCACAGTCACTTCACAGTAACAGGTTGGGACGCCATGATGACAGCGGCACTTGTGCCTGCTTGTCTTATTCACTAGAGGTTTGAAGACCAACTGCAGACTTTCGGCAGCATGACACTTTCGGTTTTGTAACATCATTGTTGCTTCCTTGGGACAACTCTTAATACATGGGAGGAACAAGATGGCAATTGCACCAGTGGAGAATACGTCCAGGCACTATACCTGTACTAAAACTTGCTTGATCACCTATTTATTTATGATTATCTTTACACTTGCAGTGTTACCTCCGAAGCGGGGTTTCCCGACCAGAAGAAAAATTTGACAGGGCCATAGGCAAGGCCAAGTTCGACTCGCGCTGCTGATCCTGTTGTCCCGGTGCCTCTACAAGGGCGAGGACCTGGTCAATAGGAGTGTGACAGGCCAACCTTCCAGGCGTGACAAAGTATGGCGCCGTGGGAGGGAAGCCCATTACACCTGTCAAAGTGGATGCAACTGCAGGTGCGTGCCTTGCTGCATGTCCGCCTTCCCGGCTCTAAACTATGTAGAAATTGGAAGGTTCAGCATCGTGCATTATATAGGTTTTATAGACCATACGCGAAATAGCTCTTGGGTATCATCATCATGCCGCTCGGAGCGACACGTGGTGGGTTTTGATATCTTGAATGTGCAAATGCCACTATACCTCGTCTCGCCTCAGCATGAACTAACTGCAAAAGCTGTGCAAGCGCAAGCGGGTAGCCTTGGCTGGAGGATAGAACCGCAGTATGTGTGCGTCCACAGGTTTCCAATGTCAACGGCAGAAGCTTCCGAGGTGTCCCAAGCATGCACCAGCAACTTCGGGAGGATACATGGGCACTGCTATCTTGGAAGCACTTTCCAAGATTAAAGAAAATGAACACAGTTGGCAAAAACTTGAGTCTTAAGGCCCGTTCACACTCTTGCAACCGAGTACGACCAAGAGAGACGAGATCTGTTAAAACTTCTTAAAATTTCTTAGGACGAGGGTACACACTGGCATTCTGGCGCCATCTATGCGGTGACCCTGAAATTGCACTTTACAAGAGCGAAGGTTTCGCGTAATTTCCGAGGTCAAAAGTGTGTAATACCTGTAGGAAAGGCTTGTTTAAAACGTTGACAAAAGTTTTTCGAGCCAAGAAAGAAAGGATAATGCGCAAGAGAAATAGTAAATATGCCGGACCGCCGAGTTTACACTGCTACCCAATAGATGGTGCCAGTGTGGCCTCTCGTTGTAAGAGGTTTTAAGGAACCCAATTTTAAGAGGTCGCAAGAGTGTAAACGGGCCTTTAGAGAACCATGCAGTGAATGGAAAACCTAACAGTTCATGTGTTCTTGGCATTTCATCAGGTTCTCGGCAGGCCTCTTCACGATGTATATTATGTGCATTACTTTTGTATTTGTTGATTTTTCTGGAAACGGGTGCCAGCAGGTACGGGCATAGACAATCGTAATTATATTCGTGCATCTGTACAATTTTTTTTGTTATTTTATTTTAAAGCTTGCTATTTAGTTTTGAAAGAACTTCGTGGTTCCCATGGCGAAGTTGCAAACATTATATTGGTATGCTCAAAACCAGTCCAAGGTCAGAACTAATGCCAAGGTATCTAAAAAAAATAATGTGACCAGAAACAATGTCATTTATTATGTTGTCAAGCTAGGCCTCGCAAATATTAGCCAAATCGGGTCCACTAGTACCCACCCATGTAGGAGGGTGTCTTTAGTGCCCATGCTTGTTGTTTAATTAGACCTTGAACATGGTTCCTTACTATGTAGGACTTGCATTACGAATGAGTTTTCTAGTTAACGGTGGTGTTCCTATTAACGAACCATTGATGTCACAGGTAGTATAGATAACCTCTACATTCTCGGAGTTCTGTAGACAAAGGGGCTGCCCAAAGATTACACAGCAGGATGGTGCCCCGCTACAGAACACCAGTATATGTCGTACCATAGCCTCCTTTATACTGACAAAACCTGGCAGATTGCCACGAGAAGCGGTCGCCGAAATGGAAAAAATGAAGTGGCATACAACGGAGAAGAGTCTCGCCGTAGTGGACGCGAAACACGAAAAAAGTATGTTTTGGGTCCTCGCCACTGCAAAAGCTGTGTGCTGACGTCCAGGTTCCGCGAGGAATGGCTCTTTAATGCTCTGTGCTACCAAATCCTCACGCTCCAAAATCTGTGACCAGGCACTCTATGACTCCGTCGTCGAACTGGCAGGCTTTGTGAGTTTAGAGGTGCTATAATCATACACTAATCCACTTTACTCCTTTTTTTTTTTTTCAGGGGGAGGGCATCTTTTTGTTTGCATTCTTAAAAAAAGAGGGTTAGACTGTTATGATTAAATTGGTGTGGACAACCACTAACAAGCTCTGTTTGCTGTCGTCAGGGCCTACGCTATTCTTATCAATTCCAATCTTCGCAAAAGAAAAGATAGGGGAAGGGACAAAACCGGAGGAAAGTTGTGCCGTTTGCGTGGTCGATGTAACTACTCATGCTAAAGATAAATCACATGTAACTATGGTTGTTTGAGATAAATCTGTTTGAAAGGGTGTCTTCGCTATGCCAATCTGTAAACATTTTTTTTTTAAAGCTGGAGATCAAGTGACACAAGTATCATCGCTGTCTTCTCAACTGGTTATTTCAATATTTTATTAGGAGTACTTGGCCATGACTTAAAACAAACCAAAGACCAGATTCTGGCTCATGTTGGCCTTAAAGGGGCGGTGCAATGATTTTCAGATTGAAAGAATTTGTCTCTTGTAACTTTTACCTTGTTTATCGTGTCCCGGAGGATAGAGAAAACATCTCTTTCCTTCGAAATGTTGTGAATTCGCCGCGTAATCGCACAGCGAAAATTGTTGTTCTACCCCCATCTACAGCCACGAGCGGCAGCTGAAGGAACCACCGAGTGACGTCGTTCGGCAGCACGCTGTAGCATGACACCCACTGTTGTCAGCGGAGAATTAGTGAAAATTGTGAAAAAGATTTCAAAATAAATTTAAGTTGTGCAATTCGAGCGAAATATAAGGATTACTTTTGATAAATTTTGCCGCTTCAGTGTAAATAAACGCGTCTAAGTATAGTATTATCAAAGAAAATGTAGTCTTTCTAGTTTCAGTGGCGCCATCTACTCGGGTTCCACAAAAACCGTCCGCGTGTGGACTTCCAGGCGTGGTCGCACTATCTTTTTCTGGTGTCTCGTGTTCGACTTCGGCACCCACGTCCCCACGTTGCCTCGATCACATCGACGATGCCGAGCGCGTGCGGTGTTCCGCATTGTCCCAACCGGTGTCTAACCGCTGCTATGGTCAAATTCAAAAACGTTCAGTTCCATCGTTTGCCGGGTGAGGAACGTCTCAGAGCTGAGTGGTGTCGGCGCATCGATAGAGAGGATCCCGGTCAGGCAGGGGTGCGCGTGTGCTCCGAACACTTCGACGGCGACCGCGAGTACCGGCGTATAGGAAGCGTCCTTCGGGATGCCGGGCAGACTGTGAAGAGAGCTCTTCTCAAGTCCGACGCAGTTCCCTCCCTTCGACTTCCCCCCACTGTGAAGCGTAACATCCCTTCAATGGAGGACCCAACGTCAAAACGCCGAAAACTTGTTGTAAGTGGCGCTCTTATTTCAGTGAACGGTAGACATGGGCATTCGGAACCTTTAGAGCAGAGGTTTACGAAACTTTTCCGATTGCGCAGGACGATGACCCGATTGAGGAGCTGGGCTTCGAAGGGAATGCACCTTGTGAGCACGACTGCCATTGCCGTCACCGACCGACGACAAGCGATGCAGCGGTTCAGGCCGACCCGCAAGAGAAGCCGCAGGTTCCGACCCCGGCTGTTTTGAAAGACAGTTCTGTGGGAACGGATCCAAGGCTGGGAAAAAGATCAGTCGGTAGGGATGAAAAAGACCCCTCCTATATTCGCGTGCTCGGCGTCACATCGTAAAATACATTCGATACAGACTCACAGCCCTGGTTAATCTTCGTCTTATTTGTTTTTTTCGTTGTATTTTACTTTCTAGATCTAGATTGCTGTTAATTGTAATATCAGATGTACAAAATGTAGTGCGTGCCAGAATGTCATTTTGCAGAAGCTTGTACTGAGCCGAGCATATGAGAAACCAGATATGTGAACATCTCTTCTCCCTTTAGGCACGCAGGCAAACTCGTATGCCAGAGGCGTCACTAGCCACCACGTTCAGACAGAAGCTTTGGAGCTACCTGGCAGTTGCAGCGCCACTGCCAGCATCGGTACCACCACCACTGCTGCTGTATCTGCCTCCTTCCCCACAACCACCACGGCCACCACCCCTGCCCCTCAAGTGCCACCACAAGGGACAGTCCTGGCACCTGCCACTAGCCCAGTCCCAAGTCATTCACACGAGGAGGAGGAGGATGACGACGAAGAGGAAGAGGAGGAGGAAGAGAAGGACGACGACGACCCCCTGTATGAGCCATTCAGCAAAGATGGCTTTGTCGAGTAAGAGTGGTTTTCCCCTTGGATGAGGCCTAAATTAGAGCGAACATGCACATTGCATCATGTCGTAAGTGTGAACACAACACCGATGCCACACTGTAAAAATGCAAACGCAGCATCGGTACCTCTTTTCACTTTACTTCAAAATTGTATTGGCTGCACCCAATTTCATGTCCCAAGTTTATGCCCCAAATTCCACCGCACTAGTAGTTTGGACTACATACAACTTTTCAGTTCTAAGAGGAAAAACAAAAAAAAACCTACCGATCCGTTGTTCGTGCTAACAGGGTCGCGCTGTGTAGCTATTTTGATTTCAGTTATATTTTGTAGCATCAGCATCTCCTTGTAATTGTGGTGTGCTCTACTTATATATGACTTGCATTACATCAAATCAGCTGCCCCTGTAGGGTAGAGAGCTGCACAGGTACGGGTCAGCCCAGCTTGTGGGCCGGGCTCAGGTTTCTTGGCTACTTTCATGAAGGGCCCGGGCCGGGTACGGGCCTTACATTCAAGTCTACAAGGCGGGCCGAAATGGGCCAAGCCAGCCATTACTTTTTTCATTTTTTTAGCAGCAGTGTGTTTTGGAAGTTTGGGGGTTGTGAGAGGAACCATAGTAGGGCAAACTCAAATGCTGAAAGGGATGCTGAACCGATATTTGAAATCTCATAATTATTGCTCGAGCGGGCTTCACGGGATGGTACTGTACCTAAAAACGATATTCAATCAGACGGATGGGGCCCGAATTATTGTATTTCTTTGAATTAAGAGTGAATTCTCGGCCGAGCGAGCGAGTCCTTCTGAGAGCAGGCGTAACAAAACTGACGTGCGCATTCTTGGCGCCCCCAGCGCCCCTGGTGCCTCCGCACATTCTCCTCGTTCGTTGGCCTTGATTCTTCGCTCGGCGGCTGTTCTCAAAGCGGCTGATACTAACAATATGGTGCCTCGATCGCGTCTTCGACTGGTGTGTTTAGCGCCCTATCCCGCCCATACATCAAAAGTGGTCCCAAGGTGGCAACAAATGACGCGAGTGTCATGCTGTTGCCTGTCGCGATCCTGGCGGTTGGCCGTAGAAATGCTGACAAAAAGCACGAGCGAACGTGAGTGTCGCTGTCGTCACGGCGTCGCATTAGGCGTCCCAACTTCCGGCTGCTCTAGCTTCCGTGAACTGTCACAGTGAAAGCGACCTGCAGCAGAACAGGCGTCTGCCACATTCACCACAACTGTTGGAACGCCGCCAGGGTCGCGACAGGCGACATGACACTTCTATGACGTCATTAGGCGGAAATCGAGGGACCACTTTTCTGGCCGCGGTAAACACACCAGTCGGAGACGCGTTCCAGGCACCATACTAACAATAACAAACGCCACCCGGCTTAGCGCCTGGCTTGGCTTGGCTCCGTCTGTCTCTTGAGGCGAATGAGAATGCGCACGTCACGAGGCGAGCTTTCCACGACGCTCACCAGGGGTCGCGTAAAATTGTATTTTTCGTGTTTATTCAATTTTATACGCCTTCTCGCTCAAAACAACGTCATTTAGAAGAAAAGGACATGCTATGTATGCCATTGCGGCCAAGAATTTCCACCCAAAATTTCGGTTCAGCATGTTTTTGTACGGTTCGGTGTGTGCAGCCGCAGCAGCGGATGCCTTTCCAAAGCACTAGAGGTACGGCGTTTCTTTTCGTCACAGGCGGCACCGCTGCGTACGATCACTTATTCACATTAGCGCGCACACATATGCACCTCGCCTGCACAATATGCACCCTTGCAGGCGTAAACCATCCGTACATATGAGTGTGTGCATCCACAATATGGGTGAAGAGGTTCCCCTGAAGGGTGCTTATCCTAAACAATTTCTTGCAAACCACTACAAAAGATGGAAACATTTTTTTTTTCTTTTCGGTTGTACTCGGGGAAAGTGGGCAATTTAGAAATTCGTCCGTCTTTCGTCCAAACCATTCGCGACGTTTCTCTTCCTTTTCAACTTCGACATGTGGTTCTGTTTACTGGTGCTTGTCATTTTTTTGTTTCTGTCCTTTCCGCTCGGGTTTGGTTGCAGAAAAGGACGATTGGGGTGATTTTTCCTAACGAGCTGCCTAGGCCCGCAGATTGGTCCAACTAATGATAGCAGCAAAAAACAAAAAAAACAAACAAAAACATATGTTTACTGCATTGACTTTTGGGTATCGTAATCAACATATGTGTAGCAGTGTCAAGCCAGCTGCCATGCCATGTAATTTGTGAGCTATTCACACTGGGCTAAAATAGAGGGGGCCAAAGCAAGCCCATGAAAATTAGCGTCGGGCCGGGCTGGGCCGACTTGGAAATCAATAGTGGGCCACGGGTGGTTCCGGGCCCAAGTGACCGGGAGCAAGGGCTGGGCCAGGCTTTTAAATATTGGCCCATGCAGACCTCTACTGTAGCGGCTTTCCAGTTGGTTGCTTACCTTCTCAAGTGCATGTTTCACACCACAAAATTGATCTTTCTGGGCAAGAACAGGTAGGAACGATTACTACCATGGTGCATATATGTCACATGCTAATGTATGCACACATTGACACCATCAGACTCTAGTAAGAGTTAAAATTTTTACAAACATTTCGCTAAATGTTATTGTAGTTCGTTATAACAGGGGTTGCCTTGTACAGGATGTCCCTCAAAATGTATCAGTAGATGGTTCAGGTGTGAATGAGGCAATATAGCTCAGTTTTTTGTTGCTCAGTCAGAGCAGAGAAGCGGTTGTCAAACATTATGCATTTGTAATATTTACAGCAATGCAGGAACCTTTTGCGGAGAGCCAGGATGCAATGAACGGAAGTTCCTCGTCTTCGGCAGCTGCCTGCGAGAGTTGTTTGCGGTGTGCCAGACATGCTACCGCCCATGCAGCGTGTCTATGAGAGCCACTGGCACACTACTGACAGTGCGCACCTCTTGCCCGACTGGGCATTCGCATCGCTGGGAAAGCCAGCCGTCCATAAACGGCAGGGCTCTCGGGAATCTCCTCATCTCGGCGCTTGTGCTGTTCACGGGGGCCTCTCCAACCAACACTCTGCGCCTGCTCCGTCTGATGAATGTGCAAGTCATCTGTAGCAAGACCTTCTTCAACTACCAGCGAGCCATTTTGGTTCCCGCTGTTGAGCAGGTGATTACATGATGCCATCTGACGAGCTTTATCTTACATGCTTTTACATTTAAATGCAGTGTTTCACCACAGTGCTTTGGCCAGTATCAAACATTCTAGTATTGTCTTCCATAGGTGTGGATGGACGAGCAGGGCAAGCTGTTGGAGGAGCTCCACGACCAGCCCCTTGATCTTGCCGGCGACGGGAGGTGCGACTCCCCTGGTTACTGCGCAAAGTACCTGACGTACTCCTTGCATGTACCTGGTCTCAACAAAATCTTGAGCAGGTTCAGGTGGGAGAGGTGAGGACCAGATTCATCCTCCTCATTGCTAAACCATGCATTTTGAACAAATAATTCTGTTACTAACATGTACAGCAATGGTCACAATTGGTGCTAAGCTGTTAAATTAACTTGCTGTCTGGTGTCAGGAGTCTGGAGCCCTTCTATTTCAGGAAGAAAATAGCCTAAAGGGGCACCGACACGTCAAAATAATATTTTTTCTTATTATCCGAAACAATCGAAAACGATGCCTGGACATTACCCTCCAAATTCGAAACTTGGGAATTCAGTATTTGTGAAGTAAAAAAAGTATTTCCAAATGCCGAATTTTAAGTTTCCTCGCGATCCGTGGTAGTGGAGTGTCGTCAACTATTGAGGGGTCCTGCAAGTCGAATTTCTTTATTGCCTTCGCCCCTCCGCTCTGAAACGCCGTTGCGTTGCCGCCGAATGTTGCTGCGACCCAAAGCTAACAGGTGATGAGGGCGGGGGAAAAGGGCGCCGGCACACCAAGAAAATGGTTTCCTGCGTGCATGCTGTGCTGCCTATCGCTGCGAGCAGAAGACGCTGCCAGCAGAGTCACAACCGAAACTATGATACAGAAACACTAAACCCAGTTGTTTTGACTATTTGACGATTCCCTTTCCGAAGTCTGAAAGGTTTTCGGGCACATAAAAAGACCGCTTCGTCCGATTCCCCAACTCACCAATCACCCTCTGCTACATGCGTCGAGCGCCGTCATGTTTTTCGAGGGAGGATAAAAATCCAGGAGGCGACTTCACACCAGACTTTGATTTTTGGTATTTCAAAAAGAAGGGCCGTAGTGCGTTCAGAACAGCGTTCAAAAACATGTTTTACGATTGGCGTTATGAAATGTTATAGAAATGTCGCCTACAAAGCTTCTTAATTTCATGATTTTTGATGTCGCCAATCGAAAAAAGCGAGGAGGTGAGGAGCGGGAGAAAAACACGACAAAAAATTTAAATAAATATGCGCGCGTGAAAAAAATTTTTTTTTTTTCAATGCAGTGTTTTTTTGCATGTCTACGACTACAATTTTTATCGTTTTAGACAATAAAAAAAAGGTACAACCTTTGGAGTGTCAGTGCCCCTTTCAGACTGGTAATGCTGCAGAATAACTCGTACACTAAACTTTCACTTGAGCAAACTTCAAGGAGCCTAAGGAAATGGTTCACTTAGCTGAAAGTTCACTAAACTGAACATGGAACAGCATAGGGCACGGCATACATGGATTCAAAAGCCGCTCCAGAGGCGATAGTGGCGGGGCAGCAGGCATCGTCTACGCCAGCACTGCAGAGCACAAAACTTCGTTGAACTGATTGCAAAAATAATCCTGGGTTCACCGATCAAGTTCGTTGATCTGAAATATTTGCTGTTCCAACATTCGTTTTTCGTTTAACTGAAACATTTTTGCATAGAATGCACAGGAAACCTGCCGTGGATTTTTTTAAAGTTCGTTATTCTAAAATTTGTTAAACCAACATTCGCTCAAGTGAGAGTTTACTGTGCGTGTATGTGCAGGATAATCCCTGCAGCTTCTGGGAATAACATGGTCCACTTTCCACTGATTACAGTCTGAGGCGGTTCGCAGCAGCGGCCTCATGGAGAAGGAAGGCCTCATCAGGTGCCTGGCCTTCGCAAAGGAGAAGGAGCTGACTGTGCAGTCGCTGACAACGGATAGACACCGATCCATCGCTAAGCACATGCGGGAGAAGGAGCCAGCCGTCCGCCATTACTTTGATGTCTGGCATGTCTCGAAAAGTAAATAGCATTTGTTACGGTTCATTTCCTCTACGTAAACAAAACAACCTGCACTGTTTGTTGACACCTATATTTGTTATGTATGCAAGCAGTTAAAAACTTTTGCATTGTAAGAACAGAAACAGATGTGGCTTGGGAATTGGGAGAGAGCAGTTTTTTCTCGTTTGTTTCTTCGAGGACATCTCGACTATAATTTATGTTTCCTCTGAATGACCAAACTGGGAATGAATATGTCATCTGAACTGAAATGACACCATGCTTTTTGCAGATTATTGCTTTCTCCTGTACTTCTCACTCACTCCCATTGCTTTCCTCTGTAGTACTGGCATGTGCTGGGCAGTAGGTATTGACAGTCCAAACAATATATAAATTCTTTTGACCAGACTGGTCTGGTCAAAAGCGCATAAATACGTTTTGCAAGTGATATGATTTCTCTCCCTTTCTTGAATGTTTTCTTGCAGACGAAACAGGCTAGTGCTAATTTTGCACACTCCTCAAACTGCAGGTGTCAAGAAGGGCCTCAGTTCAGCCAGCAAGAGTCGGGACTGTGCCTCGATTGCTGAATGGGTTCAGCCGGCTGTGAACCACCTCTATTGGTGTGCAGTAGCTAGCCAGGGCGACCCTGACCTGCTTGTGGGGGCCTGGACCAGCATGACCAGGCACGTGGTCGACATTCACGCAGACCACCCCGGGATCTACGCCCAATGCCTTCATGACCCTGACACAGATGGAGATTGGCTGGTGCCAGGTGGGAACACATTTCACATGTCCCTGAAGGTTTGTCACAGTACAGTCGACTCTAATTAGAATCTGACGGACACGGCAAGACTCTTCGAAATAGAGAAAAAAGATCACACCACACATTTTTCTGTTGAGTAGTCACTTCTGATGTGAATTTCTTGACTATGGCACTTCAGTGAACACTGAAATTTGTGAAAGTATTAATGCTAGAGCATTAGCTGTCCCGTGGAGCAAACCAGCTTTATCAGCTTTTGAAGCTGCACCAAAAGGCACCTTAATTACCCTGTCCAGTGGAGAAAAGCCTGTAGTCTGTAGCAGCCACCCCATTGGCTGGCACGCGGCGTAGCTCCAAGGAACGCCACCCCACAGAGAAGCCCTTTCCATGGCGCAGTGGCCCGGCCGCAGAGCCCACCCAGGCAGACTCCAAAGAAGCCGCACAGCCGAGCTCAGCGTGGCGCGCAGCTTGTAGGAATATGCTATGTATGCGAATGCTTATACGGTTGCCTGGACTGTGCCCCTACTTCAAACTAACCAGAAAATAAAATAGACCGACTGAACTACAGGGTCGAGCCTTTAAAAAAGTGGCAAAGTAGTTTATCCACTGTAAACAACACAATAGTGTAAACTTACTAAGCATTGGTCAATTAAATTTTTGTGCAGTAAGTCCTGATTATGCTTTGTTTGTTTTAGATTCACCTGCACATGCTAGGTTCACAGATGTCGTGGCCAGCAAATCCCTGCTCAAGGACCTGCGCCAGCTCTCTCCAGAGACGCAGACGTACGGGCTGGAGTCGTTCCACAGCGTATTGAACAGCTTTGCACCCAAGTCGGCTGCATTTTCTACGAAAGGAATGCTCACCAGGTATGCACATAAGGAAATGCTTCGGAAAAGAACCCGATGCATTGCCCACATCGCTAATATTAAAGCAGTAGCTGTGTTTTATGACATGCAACTCCATGCACTGCTTGCCGTTTTAAGATGTGCTGTTGTAGTTAGTGATAATCGTTCATCGTTATTTATTTGGTAGAATATTATGAAAACCTTTTTGAGCTCTTTTTACGTTTCAGAATTCCTCAGGATCACTAATCTCACTGTGTGAGGGTGTATGTGTGTTGCTAGATTTGTTATTTGAACTTTCCGCTCAGTGACAACCACAGCTGCGGGTATGTCTCAGCAGAGTGATCGTAACATTCAATGCTACATAAAGCTGCCAGTACAACGCGCGCTCAAGTGAAAAGACTGCTATCCCCAATGGTTAGAAACACCTAGAAATGGGGACTAAATTTCTGTAATAAACAGTAAGCAGCATTTCAGAGCACAGATCACCTCTGGGAACTGCTCTACACTTTGTTTGACTGCATTCCCTATTGGTGTAGGACCCGCATCGCAACGCTGCATTGGAACGAAAATGCAAACAGGGAGCAGGCCGTCACCAAAGCTGGTCAACTTCAGTTCAAGGTGAAGTCACCGAAAGCCAGAAAAGGGCACCACACCGCCCATCCCGAAAAGACCAAAGCCACTCACGGTAATCTGGGAGAATCCCACTCTCTGGTGGTTTGGAATGTGTTACAGCATCATGAGATTGATTTCTATAAAGACCATAGTTAGTGGCAGGTTAGTTAAAGACGACCCATGTGGCGGGTTCGAAACCCGGCCGAAACGCCCGCAATCTGACGGAGGCTTATTGCAGAGGAGGCGCCGTGTAACCGAGCTTTCGGATGCACGTCAAGAGATCCCCAGGTGGTCCAAATTAATCCTCAGTCTTCTGCTGGGGCGTGCCAGATGCCCGTCGTTGGTTTGGCACGTAAAACCCCCAAATTTGACATTTGACTTTTTACTTTGTCAGTTAAAGACGAAGTTAATATAAAGGTGAGCTGGTCTACGATATACGGGATAAATCCAGAGACGACAAAATTAAGAAAAAAAGGGACGGGACAACAAACCATCAGGACGGTTCAATGTCCTTTACTTCATTTTTTTCATTGTTTTAGGTTTTATTATGGGGACAAGTTAGTGCATGGTAAGCGTCGTCCACATGCGTTATGTCACTGCAGCACAAACTCCCGAGTCGGAAATATAGTAAGTCGTCTGCTTCACTGCATCTGCCTCATGAGTCATCGATAAGATGGTATGTCATCTGCTGCTCGATATCGACAATTGTAAATGGTATGAAATGGCAATGTTTTTGTTTATTTTTTAACATGTGATCACTGCCATAATTACTTGTGCCAAGGGGGAAATGGATAACTGAGGTGACACAAGTGCCAGCCTTGCAAACTTTCTTTTTCATTGTAGACATCAGTGTAAAAAACCAAGTACAGACAGTTGTTTCATACCTTATAAATGGGTAGAAGAGGCTACATTCTGTGCACAGATTACTCAAGATGCCTGTACTTCTGCACATTTTG